AGCAGTATTGTAAATATTACAGATTACACTCTTGCAAAATAAAGGTAAAGAAAATCAAATCAAAATGACACCTACTTCTTAAACACATTGTTAAATAAAATAATATATATAATAGGGCTGCTCAATTAATCGAATTTTAATCACGATTACGATCTGGGCTTTCAACGATCATTATAAATGACTGAGCCGATTATTAGCCCCTCCCTCGTGCTTTACTCTCGCGCTGCTCCGTGTGGCAAATCGAGCGCACCTCTCTGCATTTCGAACACGTGTCACAACAATTAAGAGGACCCGAGGGAAGCTCCGAAAGTAAGCAGAAGTTATTTGGAGAGGAGAGTGACTGCTGTTGGTTGAAAAGAGAGGTAAAAAAAACTTCAGTGGTGTGGAAACATTATGGGTTGCCGGAGTCAGACGTGGATCAAGTAGACATAGTGTGTAAACTTTGCTACAGTGTCGTAGCTGCACCACAGAGCAACACTGCAAAGTTCACTAAACATAGATGTTTACATTTTTCATTTATTTTTTATATTGCAAACATTTGCACTGTTATCTGTATATGCACACTATTTTATATTATTTTTTGACAATCTTTAAAGTCATTATTCAATACATTGTTATTGTTAAATAAATATCGTCAAATAATCGAGATCTCAATTTCAGTGAAAATAATCGTGATTATAATTTTTGCCATAATCGAGCAGCCCTAATATATAATATAAACACTTCTTCAGGTATCTGCGCAGATTTATCATACCTGGTAGCCCTGGGGAAGAGAGTACTGGATGCTGGTCGATGGCTGCATCTTGTCTGCAGGTGCCTCTATTACAGTAGGGGCCGGGGCAAGGGCCCGGTGCTGGAAGTTTTCTGTAATTCCTTGTATTTGAGGTCGGCGTAATAGCTGCTGCTGAGGCGCAAGTATTGGTTCCTGGTCCTCCACACGCCTCTTCATTATATACACATAGTCAAAAGGGCTAGAGGGGGGTAAACAACAATGGACAATTTACAGGCTGTTAGCATTTGCCAATTTTGTTTTTTTAAACACACCCACATTTTATGTGTGCGTGTGTGTGTGTGTGTATATATATATATATATATATATATATATATATATATATCATGCAACTTACAAATGGAAACTGCAACATGCTGATTAGCATTTTTCTCTCTGGTTAGCTGATTGATTTAGACAGTGATCTCCAAAGCGGTCTAACATACCACTGCATGTGATTAAATAGATAATAAACTGGCCTGCATTGTTTTAACAGTGACAACAACAGTAAGTACTCATTCATTCACAATGGTCAAATTAAATTTGAGTTTCACTATAAACAACTCAAGCAAAACTTTTCTCACAAGTGTCACACAGATAGGTAATGGCAACAAATATTAGGACAATTGTTGCAAAGTGGCTTAAGAGCTGGGCTTTAAGCAGTGGCTTCCAAACAACACTCCTTTGACATAATTAAGCTCCGAATGTGACACCAATCCCTTTTGCTTCATTGTGCTTCCTCAGTGTACACAGAAGCTTTACAGGACTTAAGCTGAGAGAGGTTAAACCCAATGATATTTGGTGGTCATCTGAGAGAACTAACAGTGGTGTGAAAACACACCTTCTTTGACAGATATAGTCTGTGTACATTTTTTGGCTGAATAGTCCTGATTTAACTGATAGACAGATTCATTCATCAACCATTACAGTGACATATTTTAATTAACTTAAATAATTCTGCACTTATTTATTACTGAGTTATTATAATAAAAACAAATGCAGATACCAAAGTACTCCACCATAAAAGTAGTAGTAGAAAAAAAAAACAAAGCTATGAGCAAAAGTGATTATTTAAGGTTGTCCGTAAATAGACATGCCATCATGTTCAGCAGACTGACTGTGGCGGCTGGCTAGGGACCGTCTTTCAAAAGACATTAAGACAGTGACGCTAGCTGTCATTGAGTCGACTCAGTGAGACAAATGATAATGATAACGTTCAATGCACATGTATTATGTGCATTTTTTCCCCCGGAAAAATTTTTTTTAAAAAAAAAAGAAAACCCCCGGAAACAATCCGCCCAAGGAAAAACTTAAACAAAAGCCAACACCGCCGATGACTAGACTTTAAGTTAATATTTTTACGTTTTATTTGTATATTTTAACAACTTAAAAAATACACGGGGGTGTGGAAAAAACACGTATGAGAAAACGTAACAAGTTAAACTTGTAGCTGCAAGCACAGCGCCCACCATGAGTGTACAGTAAAGAAATTTATCGACGGTTCCTAAGCAAACGTCACCGCATTTGCTAAGAGGACGAGGAGACATTGTGCCTCACTGCCGCGCACAACCAATTTCGGAAAACATGGTGACTGAGCGTACGGTCTTCGTTCGCCGAGATCGTGTCTGTAGCGCATCCAGCTTCAGAATTTCTATGCCGAAGCGCTACGCAAATACGGCAGATAGTAAATTGTGTCGAAACTGATTAAGTAGGACTAAAAGAAACTTGAAATTTCGCCGACAGTCAACGTTTTGCAGGCATGTAGGCGCTGTCTCTCTCTTGCTGGCTGTAGCCTTGCCGTATCCCCTCCCCCTCTCTCCCAAACACCGAGCTTGTAAGGCTATCGGTTTTCGGTGAGCTGACCGCTTTCGCTAGTCAGATGGCTGACGTTGACTTCAGTTCTAGCTTCAAAGTTATGTGGAAAGCAAGTTACCCTCTGCTTCGTGCAGACTGACAGTTAAATGTTAGAGAAAAAACCGGAACATCAGTTTGTCACAGCCGGGTCTTCGTTAACAGCCCTCAGTAAACGGGAGTCTAAGTAAAGCATTAGACGAGCAAAACATACTGGCTACCTGACGTTACCCTTGCCGTTGGGTAGAAGACGTCGAAAAGAAAACAGCCATGCCTAATCGCATCAGATAACGCGGCAACACAGTCGGTGGCTTAGTTTGTAGCGTACGGGGTACCGGTACAATTGGGGCAGTTGAATTAAGTTTCATGGTCAGTAATTAATTTGGCTATGCTAGGTGGTTAGCTCAAGAAGAACACCAGCTAGCCAACAAGCTAACACTTCGCACAGCTAATGCAAATGTCGCATAAACGGCAAGTTAAGCTAGAAGTTGCAAAAATGATTTTTTCCCCTCCCAGCCAAAACTACTTATCTGTCAGTTACGTTACTTTGACATCACCCCGATCCAGCAAAAAAAATCAGTTGTAGCAAGAACAAACGGTGATCAAAAATACATGTTGTCAGGTTAGCCTGTAAGCTAGTTCATGGTCGCCGCTCTTAGATTGCTAACCTAACCAGCGACTTGGTTCCACTGACTTGTCGACACTGCAAGTTAACGCAACCGCAAATAAACTCCCACACTATTCTGCTATAACACTAAACTACACCAGCAACAGAAAGTAATCCGCGTTGGCTCACTATTTGGAGACTAGACAAGGTTATTTAGTAGCTAACTGATTGCTATGTTAGCACAACAACCAACCCCCCTCATCACTACAGACTCTCCGGCTAGCCAGCTAACACCACTTTAACTTACCTCGGGGAACCACCACCAGCAACAACTTGACCCACCAGTGGAAGGGATCTCGACCAACACGCCGCTACTCGTGCATTCACCCGACGGTGAAAAAAAGCGAAGTTTTAAGAAGTAGCTGTAATTGGAAATGTGGAAAATCAAACTGGCCGTAGTGGCTACGTCGCTAACAACAGTGTGTGTGTGAAGCGGTGTTCCTTGAACATAGAGGTGTGTCTATTGGGAAGGGCGGGCTGGTCTCCTCCCAGTTTGAACCGGGATTGGTCAGCACTACAGAATGAAAACAAATACAGTTAAGGCTGTGGGCCAGGCCTGTACCATACCTTTGGTTAAAGGCGCCTATGGTCATGCCAAGTGCAGGGTCATCAGCATGCCATGGACGGCAGCACGCCTTCCATGGCATTACGTGTACGGCACAATATACTGAATTCAACAGATAAGCTCAGTAACTTTCTTGTCAGTTACAATGACTAACGTACACAGTTAGTGCATTTAATAAGTATTTATTTGCACTGATATTTAGGCTTATATATGTATTATTCTACAACTGATTCTGATATGACACCACACATGTGTTGATAAAATAAGATATGGCTAGTAAGTGTACCTTAGAGCTAAATAATTTAATTGCACACACTGATCTCCAAGGATGAGGACATATTTACATACTCACAATTAAAATACCTGTATAACCCTCCTACTTGCTGTTCTCTGCCTCATTGTTAAAACCACCCTGGAGATTTTTCTAATACCACTGATCTTATTATTAGACCTAGGACCTTGATTAGTGCTCCTGGAAAAAAAACATTTTTCTATTTTTCTTTGGCATCAGTAGAGATTGATTAAGGGGGAAAAAGTGGCTTCTTTTCACAAAATCTCCTACAACAGCTAGGAAATCGATCCAATACCAGTACAGCTTTCATCAAATAATAATTCATGCTTTATTCATATTGGCCTTTGCAAACAAACACAGTTGAAAGGCCTTATAATAGATTAATAAAATAGAACTGTAAAAAGGAAAAATTATTAGAAATAGATGGTTAATAATAATAACTACTTAGCAACATATTTATGTTAATCTAAAAACAATACACATACAATTTTAATTTTTATATCTGAAGTAAAGATGGATACACTTTAGATAATGATAAGCTCAAGTTCTTTTTCTTAAACAGGTTTTTGTTGGACTATGAAAAAAATACATAAAGTAGATCTTAAAGTGCCAGTTAACCAAAATTTTAAAAGTTTTACTCATGGTGAAGAAGACATTTTATCCACAATGGTCCTGATTTGTAAAACAAACAAATTGCTGTGTCGATGAAGGTCATATAAACCCACCATTTTACTAGTAAAGTGTAATACAGCAGTTTAACATTTTTAATATTGCATCTTAAGTATTTATTACCATCTTATAACTATGAAAGGGATAGAGGAATTAAGAAAATTCTATGCAATCTATTTCTTTTCCCTTTGACAGTATTTTGTGTGATCTCACTTTAATGTGGGAATCTGAAACAGCTCAAAATACACACTGGAATAATTTGTGTGATTCTATCTCTAAATGTCCAAAGGAAACAAATGAGGTGCTCCCTAATGTGACAGATAACTCCAGATGCAGGATCAGCAAAGGAGCATTTTCTGAAGAAATATGCTGAAAGTTGTCAAAATCACTCCTGTTGCCAGAGATGAGGCCTGATATGGAGCTGCAGTGGAAGAGAGATGAGGTCAGTGAGTTAAGTTTACAGTTAACACTGTGCACTTATTAACATTTAAACATTAAAAGCAAGATTATATAATTGAATATGGTAATATTTTACACATTTGCCTAACAAGTGAAAGATCACCAGTTTGACACTTGGAAGGGATACAAATCTCTTTGGGACTCCTTTAAGAAGGTAGAGAGGGGCGGATCAATAAAAAATATTGATAGTATTGATTCCAACACTTGTATCGGTGTAAGGTTGACACTAGTGTGATAGGATCGATACTTTGTTTTTATCCTTCAAGTTCAGTATGCAGCCCACTGAACTGTTTTATGGAAATGAAAAAATGTACATCAAACATGCACCTTGAAAAACTTTAAAATCTTTTTATGTTGACTCTCACACTTTTTTTTTAAAATTCAGAGCCTGTAGCACATTTAAACAACAGAAGTTGACCCAAAGTACTTCAGACACAGGAACATTTACATTTTCTTAATTAAATGTATTAAAAACGATGGAAATATTAAAAGTTGACCAACGCTTAATTAAATGTATAATTTGCATAGCCTGTAAAGCACTTTTGTCATCTTTGACTTGAGTGTGACCTACATGTTTTAATTTGCTTATATTTAGGCACCTGGCCAGGAATGAATAAGCCAGTGGCCCTGAAATAAGCCACTGCTCATTACTTTCCTGAAAATCAAAACCACTGTTGCAGGAAACCCAAAAGGTTAAAACTGACTTTTATTGTCATTAATATTGTCTTTTACATGTTAGTGAATTAATGTTTAAAAACAGAGGAGAAGTTAAGTCTTGTTTAAAATAAATTGTCTTACCACTTCCTGCGGTGTTATGGACAGCTGTAGTAGTTGCAGCTGTAACAGCTGGAGTTGCTGATGTACTTGCAGTATTGGTTGTGATACTGGTTGCAGTAGTTGCAGCTGTAACAGCTGGAGTTGCTGATGTACTTGCAGTATTGGTTGTACGAGTAGTTGTAACTGTGGCTGTAGTAGCGGTTGTTACATTAGTACTTGTTGTATTTGCTGCGGTTGTTGTGGTTGGAGCAGGAGTGGTGAGCACAAGGCTCACAGGTCCTGATTTGACTGTGTAGCTGCTGGTGAACACACTGCCAACCAGGGTGCTCTGACTCCTGGAGCTGGTACATAGATTTGGGCACAACAGAGAGGGCATGGTGGTAATGCACAGATTGACTGTGCACTGGACATACAGCTGTAAACACAAAAAGCCACACTTAGCAGTGTTCAGATTAAAGTATTTCACACTATCGCCACATAGAGCACTACAGCTGTTTACGAAGCATTAATACTGGAACAATTCTAAAGCACAATCAAGACAAATTGCTCAGAACAAGCCAGCCACCACACATGATGTGTGCAGTGGTCAGTACATTTCCATAGCATGCTTGATAGCACTTACTGATTAGTAAAATTAATTTAAAATCTGCAATTTGCTTTAGAGGTATTTGGTAACTAATCAACATATTGTTCAAACATTGAGCAGATGATGGTGCTAGCTACATAAAACAAAGTCTCATGGAAATCTGTTTGGCCCAGTGGGATAGAACCAGCTACACCAATATTTAATTTCTATTTATTTATTTGTTTATTTTTGCATCTGAGAATGTAATAAATTTAAAAAAGCGGAAAACAGCAGATGTGCAACTGAACAGGAGAAAAATTGTAGGGATTTCCCTAAAACTGGCTTCCAAACTAAAAATATCAACTTTATTTTAAAACATAAATAAGGTAAAACATACATAAAAATAAATCGTAATTTTAATTTAAACACAATGTTTTTTGGAAATCTTGTAAAATTCATTTTTCAAATGTTAGAACTGTTAATTAAGTAAACAGTTATTATGAGTTATTATGACTCCCGTGGCTACAACACACTACAAAACTCACAGGGGCTTGCATCACTTTTAAGGAGCACCTCATTTGTCAACTTCCCACTCGACCATCACAAATTAGTTTGAAAACAAAACTGAGGGCAAAAATACACTCTTAATAGGAATCATGAAAAATATCATGCCACTATTGCTCTCAGATAAGTATTTGAAGGGAAAACACCAGGGCTGTTTTAAATGTTTTTCTAGCACCGTTTTTGTGAAGCCCCCTTTTTAAAATTCAATTATCTAGAAAACTACTTGAGCTAGATCCTTTCACCTGACTTGAACTGCATTAAATAATATCATCCTCCTTGTATCTGACTAGTTGTAAACAAAATATCACCCCCTGCGTACAAAACGGTGGTTTCTGCTGGAATACAAATCAGCTGTCGGAGATCAGACATCCAAATATTTAAGGGACTTCAAGCATCCTTCATGCTCTCCTAGCTTGAGTTGCGTTCCAAAGTGTTCTTAGAGACAGAAATTGTGAAAAAAGCTAACTCAAGTAGTTTTTAGAAAATTGTCTAAAACAGCCACAGTAATGCTGAAATTTTGCATAATGCCGTTTAAGAAATGTATCTTTAACATTGATTTGGTGAATTGACATTGAATGACCCTGAATACTTTTTGTAGTTTGCTGGTCAAAATGATTTCTTTCTCAGTTTCAACTTTTATTTGAAACAAGCCTTTGGTACACAGAAAGAGTACAGCAAAGTGACACTTATGCTTATGTGTGTGTTATATGACATCACTTACAGTTGTTCCATTGGTCTGTATTGTACTCAAATCAAGGCGGTAAACCCTGGAATTATTTTGGGTAGTAATAATCTCTAAGGTGTTGCTGGATGCCAAGCACCTGAAAGAGAGAAATGCGACTGCTATTTCAGTTTGTATGATATGCTTCATGTACTGAAAACAACATTTCTTTGAGAAGATTTTCTAAGAGCATCTGTTCTCTCCAAAGTGGTAACTTTGAAAAAATGACAGGACACAAGCTGAATGTTACTGACCCTTGTTCTAGAATAGGACGGCTTATTGCAAAGTCCTCAGTCTCAGACTCGATGCAGTCGTTTACTATCATCTCGGCTCGAACCACACTGCAATTGGACCTGACGTAGAGGTCCAGTTGTTTGATCCTGGATCCACTTTCTTCACTTACACCGGTACTGTTACTGGAGTTGCTTCCTGTTTCCGAGTCAACAGATCTACGCACTCTTTGTGGTGAGTTGACGTTAGAGCGAAACGTGGGATTTCTGGTGAATTGTGCCAGGGGCCCTGTTCCTGGGAGGTAAAATTCAATCCAAACACGAAACTCACCAAAGGTCTCTTTCTCTGTGGGCATCTCAATTGAAGCATTTGGGCCCTTGACCTGGACTCCTGGGATGCGGCAGGCCAAAGGCAGGATAAGTAAGGGCTGGCGGCTAATCATAGAGTAGGGACGCACGGTTTTCAAGGTGTTGGTGTAAACCAGCTCTGGGCCCGAGTGCTGGGAAAAATTGAGAATGAGAAAAGAGAAAATGAAAAAAATCCAAACAAATAATCTATGAATAATCTATGCAAAATATCTCATCGTTTGAGAAATCATTTTTAATATAAGGCCAGAAAATCTATTTTGACTAAAAGGTTTCCAATAAGTTTCATCTTCTGTGTAACCAGATGACAGAGCTTCAGATAAGGGAAATTCTTTTTTTAAGAAAAGACAGATAAGTTAAACTCTTGGTCTACTGCAGGTGACTCTGTGACACTGCTCGCTGGAAAGTTTATTTTAACACCTCAGTTTTTACATATCGTCTCTCTCCTTTATAGCCTGAAGCAAACATGAGAAGGATTTCTCTTATTCTCTGATGACTACTTAATTAAACTTTACAGCCTTCTTTTTTTTTTATCCCACTATAATTTCACTGAACAGCATTATCCAGCCTTACAGCACTAATATTACACAGCATGGATGTGTCTTGATAGATGGAGGGAAACTCTTTTTCTTTTAGCTGAACAGAGGTCAAGTCCAGTAGGCAATATATATTAGGCTAGAGGACATTTATGTGTGCTGAAAGAGCAATCTGCTGGGGGTTAAAGCTACATTACGCTGGAATTGTTACTGAATGATATGACTGTTTAATGTCTTACATTTGATTCAGCCCATACGGAGGTACAATCACAACGCTACAGCCCCTTAGGCTGCATGTTTGAGCCTAAATCTCTGAACTCTTCTTACAAGCTTAACTCAGAGTGAACATTCTCAGAGCTGACTGAGCTAATTCAGCTAAGCTTTATTTCACCATTTTGATATTCATCAACTCATAGTTCATAGTTATTGATTCGTTACTTAGTTAAAACTGCTTTCTAAAGACTCCTGAAACACATATATACAAGGAGAAAGGAAACCACATGGTGTCAGCAAAGACAAGTTTCAGTTTACATTAAGCTGCTCTTTAAATACTGCTGTGATTCCTTTCTTGAATAAAAGCCTTTCATATTAAAATAAAAGAAGAAAGCCACAGCTACCAAAAAAGTAAAGGAAGACATAATTGCGTAGTATTTTACCACAGTCTTTGTGCCACAGCCGTCCAAGGAGATGGTTGCAGTCACATGTGTGTTGTTGTAGTTGACGGGGCAGGTGGGGCTGTTGAGCTGGAGTTCGGCAAGGTTGATGTTTGTGAGCGAGGTGATGGGGAGCACCAGAGTCATCGCTGTCTTCTCACACTTCAGTTCTGACCAGGAGCAGAAGGTTAATTATTGATAATAACTCAAGCAACCACACATATCACACTCGAAATCACCTGAATCTCACACACAAGACCTGAATTTCTACCTGTTCCAGCAGGTAATGTTCTGGTTTCCCCTGAAAACGTTTGAAAAGGAACATGTAAGCAGCGAGTATTTTCAGATAAAACCCTGCTGTAAAGAAAGAAGTTGTTTTGCCAGATATTTCTAAGCAAGCTCTTACTTTGGTATAGCCACACACATCTTGGCTCCGACTGTAAACTGACAGGATAAAACATTCAGATCAGACAGGTTCATCTGAAGCACATATATGCAAATGTATAAATACAGGTTTAATAAAGCATCAGCCGACCTCTTGGTATTTGCAGCAAAGCAGATGGGCAACAGATGAGTCAGGTTGTTTTCAGAGCGGATCCAGGCCATGGCCATAGTGGCCAGGGGGCCGACTGATGTGAAGCCAGTCCTGTAGAGGTCAGGGGGCCCAACCACGGCAAACTCTAAAACACTGTAAATATTGAGAGAAACCTTTAATAATCTTTGATTCACCTAAAAATACTTCACACCTCTCGCACTTCTTGCAAAGCCACACAGGCACAATAATTCTTCACCCTCGCAACCCTCAATAAACAGGAAGGAATATATTTTTTTAGTAAAATGCAACGGAAATATATAAAATGAAATGTAAGAAAATACACTTGGTACAAATAGAATATATACCAACTGAATGAATTTCATTTGACCAAACCATTATATTAACACTCCCCGCCAGAGTCCTAGATTTAATCTGGGACTCTCCGCCATTTGACCTTAGAAGTGAAGAAGCTTCTCGGATGAGAGGTGAAACGTCTTCAAGCAACTTAAAGAAGTCCAGAAGCTTTTCTTTGCAAGCTCCTTTGACTACGATGACCTGGATGACTGAGAACCTTCACAGACATCCATATATATGCACACACAAGCAAACTCTTATATAACTTTTCTATACAAGTATATTTGTACATGTACATATGCACATTCCTATACATGCATATGCAGCAAAAACGCAGCAACAGCAACAGAAAATAAAAGAATAAACCATGTTGGGATGTTTAAAAAGCAGTGGGAGGGATGGCAAAGGAAGAGCCACCAGGACTCACCTCTCCTCCTCCGACCTATAGTCAGTGTTGATTTTCTCCTCCTGGTACGGCAGAACAAACAGCACAGAGTCATCTTTTGGGGTCCTGTCTATGGCCACTGGTTCATCAGAGCAACTAAAATATGACTCTTCCACTGGAAAGACAAAATGAAACCATTTATTACATTATGCTATAAGTTATTATTAATCTGGTAAAATTATTATTTTCGTTTTGGCAGATGATGAGAGAAAGCGCAATTATTATTCTCTATACTTGAACCAAAATGTCATCTAAGCGATTGTCAGCCTCACCAGTTAGAGAGAGATGGACAGGGACAGAGCTGAGGGGCAGATCTGTGGCATGGTTTACTCTGGGCGAAGGAATCAGGTCCTCCACCATCAGGTAAATAAAATACTGTCCTGCAGGTGCCTGTCCAGTGAAGGACAAAATGCATTTCTCCTGGTAAAAGAATGAAACAATGTCAACAACAGAGATGAACAAGTTCCACAATGGTATGTGTGGGCAATGTTTGACTGTAAATGACATCAATACAAGGCAAAAAAAACAAACAAACAACAAAAAAAACTGAGTGGTTAAACTTGTTTCCAGACTGTATGCAAACGATATTACACAATGGTGCTTTTAACTAAGCAAATTACGGCTAAACCAAACAAGTTTTTACTTTGGAATCCATTTCACTGATCAAAGACCAAAGAGAATTCAGTTGCACTTCCAAATTAACTGGAATGTGATTACTGGAAAGGCAGACTTCTGCTAGTACAGAGTGACCTGATGTCTTCAACACGCTTCAGCCGTAGAATAGCTTTGACATTATGGGCAATGAGAATTCCAGATTCTCATTGGTGAGAGGAGGTAGATTACTTTGGGTAAAGGAAGCAATAGATAACATTCTGTTAAAGAGCAAGGATGTAAAATATTTCATTACTGTGTTTAAATTTTAAGCTCCTTTATACTTTTATGCTCTACGTCACTGTCATAGTTACATGTTTTGTTCTTTCACTGTGTACACTGTGCTTTTGTCATTTCAGTCTAACACTCCCTGCTGTTTACTTTCCCCTTGCCAGTATGTGACCTACAGCTCCTCCCAGCTCACCTGCAACCTCTTTGTATCTAGCCTTTCTTTTTTCAACATAGCTGAGATTTGCCTTTTTCCCCTGGTTTTTGGGTTGTTTTTTTTTCACAAATTTAAGACACACCATTCACCACAGCAGGTATTTCCACATGTTTAATTTGGCAGAGTTTTACGCCAGATTTCTGTCCTGATGAAACCCCAAAGATGGAGTGGGTTGGGTGTTGGTTGGTGCTGAACATATTTAAATATTTATGCTAGTCTAATCCGCACTTATGTTTAATTGTAATCATCTTTAAAATAGTAAAATATGTTTTTAATTAAGAATAAAATAGATTTTAGTGCCTACAATAATAAAGCCTTGAACTCGTGAAATACAACTCACCCCATCCAGCTCTATGAAAGAGTGCTGGGTGCAGCTGACACACTCTCCCTTGTCAGAACTGGCAAATCGACATCGGACCTTGTCCCCATCCAAGTCTTTCACTGACAGATGGAAGTCGTGAGGACAGTTAACACGGGCCCTGTTCTCACAGAACAAGAAATATTGGTGGCATGCAGACAAAGAGATAATCAGCTTCTTGAATCATAAATCACAACAAGAGAGAAAACAAAAATGAAAGTGGATTTGGTGCAGTCTGTACAGCTGAAGGGCAAGGCATCACTCTGAAGAAGTCTTTGAGAAGCAAAGACTTTGGCTGACGTCAATAAGCTCTCGAAGTGTTGCCTCTTTGATCTTAAACTTGGCCTCCAGCAACAGCTGGCTTTTGGAGCTGAAAAAGCCACTGCGAGTGGTGAGCATGAGTAACAGATAAACAAATCAGCGGAAACTGATCGCATAAACCTGCAGACTCAGGCTTCACTCTGATTTTACATGGACTTTTTAACAAAAAAATAAAGATTACACTCAGATTTTAATCATCCGAATAACCAAGTGACATTTTAAAAATCTATTTCATGTAAAATCTTGTATGGCTCTTTGTTCAGATATATGTAGCTTATATCTCTTTATGACAGCTTAAATGTCCTTAATTTAATTAACACAAATTCAGCTCATGTCTGAATACAGGAGTCGGGAGGAAGGAGAGCAGAGAGTAGGTGTTTACACTACCTTAGTGGAGGAGGGAGAGCCACAAAAGCAGGGTGGTTGAGTCTCCCGCTGTTTGCCCGGATCACTGGTCCTGCATTTATAGACACAAAAAATTCTGTTCTGGACCTAAAACAGTAAAAAAACCCTGTATTAATGGCTTCTTCCTTTAATTTAACAAATAACATCATTGATCTTGTCACAGATAGTAAACACAATGCTCCATAGCAAACGGTTTGATTCGCACAGGACTGAAGAATCATAAGTCAGTTTGTTTGGGCTCCAGACTGCTTGAAATAGTCAATTTTAAAGGATTTTGTGTACTCTTAGCGCTTTATGATTTCAGATATTGTGGGATATCACTAATGTGGTTATCTCAAGCACAAACCTCTCGCTGGGACCATAGAAGCCCCAGCTTCACCCATTCTTTGTTGCAAGGGGCAACAAATGAGAAAAAACTCTAAATTATGCAAAGCTGATCTAGTAGAACAAAAAAAATAAATACAAATAAAAGTCCTCCGTAGTTGTCTAAGAAACAAAACAATGTCACTTGGAATAATCTCAGAGTTATTTCCAAATAGACTGCGCAAATTTCTTTTAAAAAGATGAAAAATGGAGCTGACACTTAAAATGTAAAAAAATAATATACAAAATTTAGCATGTCTGAGGTCAAGGGTATTCGCATTGTAGGTCTCATACCCTAAACTGATGGTAGCTCTGTAGTCACTGGGGACAGTTTTCTGCCACTGGCGGACACACCAGTCAGAGGGTTTGGTCCCAGTGAAAGGTAACGGGGTGGTGTGGACTAGGCAGTCCTCTCCTGGAGCACAGAGTTCAGACAAAGACGGACAAGGACTAGGAGCAATGACAGTGAAATGAGCCCGCACCTGCAAGAAGTAAAGAGACAAACTCCCTCATGTCTGCACTAAACAAACATTACAAACATTTGCATGTAGTTCATCAGGCACCAAATATCAATCTGAGACCCACACAACTAGTATGTTGACTATTAATTGACAGTTATTAGTAAGCGTAATTTCCTACCTTTTGAGATAAATAAAGTATTTGTTACTTTTATTTTACCCACTAATGTTGAGTATTAGTAGGATGCTACACTGCAATTCCCATCAACCGAATGAAACAACTAAAAATAACTGAATTTGGGTTGAAGCACTAATTTATGGGATGTTTGTGGCCCAGTGTGATGTAACAATGGGAGACAACAACTATGAAAAAAAAACAACAATATCAACATTATCCTTAGTTCAGCTATTAAATCTATATGAAAGTAAGGGTTTGTTTTTGAGGATAGATGGAGCCATGAGTAATTAAGACGTACACAGCTGACAGGACTGCATAGAAGAATGCCTAACTAGATTACAACAGACCTAACACACTACACAATGACTGACACTGAATTCGTTTTGTAGAATTAAAAGAATCAATTATTTGCACACATAAGTAAGTAGCAACTAAAATAACGAAAGAAGGGGAAGGGTTCACTTTGAAGCATGTCAATTTTAATGTTTTTTGTTCTTGCAGTGAATCCTGAAACGTTTTAACTAATTGAGTGGTAAACACATTCGTTAGGATATTTCAAGGAAAGTATAATTTTAGTAAAGTAAAATTATAGAAGCACAGTTTTGATAAATAATTCTAATAAATAATAATGCTGAGGCATAAAATAATATGGTTTATGAATCATGGAAAATGTCTTTTATTAGTTTCCTGCTATAATTTTGAGTTTATGAAAATCTCAACACATGACTAAAATGTGATAGTAAAAATGTATAATTAGGAACAGCTGAGAGTGTGGGAGATCTTGGATTTTAGGACTCTGAAAAAAAAATTAAAGAGGGAAAATGTTGCTCACTGTTTTTCCTCCATCACTGTCCAGGGGCACAACATGCACAGTCAGGCCAAGAGAAGAGGCATCAGAGGCCAGGCCTAGCATCAACAGAGCCAGGCCCAGCAATAACATATGCATTTTGAATCTGTCCAGCATCTCAGCTTCTCAGGCAAGGAGCGAGTCTGAACCTTTGGCAAATACAAAGACAGGAAGGTGAAGTAGTCAAGAGTCAGAGCACTAACTCACTTTTCATTAGCTGCAACCCCCCGCCCTGAATCCTGAATTATCTACACTTCACTCAAGGATTTACTTTTAAGTAAATTTGACTTTTAAAGTCAATCCAACACTGATCCCGCATTGTCTTTCTGAAACAAGGCTGTCGTTATATATCTGACAGGATAGTGAGAGATGATACAACGGAATCTCTCACTATATTATTTATGATTTAATAATGATATTGTAACTGGCGGCTCTGCAATTCAAAGTGTGTAATACCACGTTATAAAAGTTTGACAGGTTGAAGAGTGAAACATCAACCTCGTATCAAAACTCACTTGAATAGAAACCATTTTAGCAGTCACAAATTAGAAAACACCTGCAGTTTTTGTGGAATAATTATGATCTTAAGTGCCATCAAAATGAAAAGACCGTGACATACCTGCTGTTTCTGCACTTGGGAATCCCCCACCAATCACAATAAGTAATCCTGAGAGAGGGGTACAAGAACCTGAGGACAACAGCAAACAACCTCTGGAAATCATAAATGACAACCCGATAGAGCAATCAATCAAATAAATAAATACAATGGAAAAAAGGAACACATTTCAAATTCTTAGGTTCCACCCATCATAGCAGAATAAATCTTCTTAACACCGAAAAGTGTGGCAACAGTATAAAACAGCCAGCAAACATATGCCCACCATGTGCAAAACCCTAAATGAGAATGGTGGGACAAAATGAAAGAATTAGGTAATAAAAAATGACTTGTATCGATACAAAAATGCAAAACACGATGTCTGGATGTAAAACAGTACTACAGATTCACATCAAAAACTCTTTCCTGACATGAAACATGGTTGGTGGGAGCAGCATGGTTTGGTGGTGTTTTTAATACATGAATTGTTAATAAGAACCTAAAGCTGGAGGCTCAAAGGCAGCGGCGTCATCTCTTAAGCAGCAATACCTGCAGGCAGTGGCCACGGAGGGGGAAGTGGCTGGTAGTGACTTGCGTTATTTTGCTTTTTTTCTGAGCTTCACTAATGTTCTAATCACAGGAGTTTGTTTTTTTTTTTTTAATTTTTATTTGTTTGTGATGTCTGTATGCAAAGTGGGACATTGCTTTTGTACTTAAAAGTCCATGGTGTGATAAAAATCTGTTCTGGAGAAATAGTTCAACATATTATGGTGTATATCTTTATTTCCATTCTTTTAAAAGGCTCTGTGATAGATTTTCTAGTTTTAGAAACTAAATCAGAGATGTCAACTCATCTTACATCATGGACCACATAGAGCCCAGTTTCATTCAAAGTGGGCCCGACCAGTAAAGCTATTGCCTATCAATAAACAGTTTTCTTGTTTTTAAAGTTTCTTTTATTTCCAGGATAAAGATTAAGCTACACATTTAAACCCTGAGGTATCTTCAGAAATCTTTTTTTAAAGATGCATCTCAGTTTTTCCACTATGTGAAGAAATGCTGCTGACTACAAAGAAACCCATCAGCTCCTTGTGCATACACTAATATTTTCATACTTTGGTGCTTGAGAGGGTTATTTGTCAGTAAGAAGGCAAAACTAATGAGAAAACACACAAAAGTCCAAAAATGTATGCTCTTCTTTTTAGTCCACATATATCCAGTGAGCTGGATCCATGTTTGTCAAAGATATCGTGAGGCAAACTGACTTGGAAAAAACAGAACTGATTTTTATATTGACAGGTGTATGTAATGAAAACATAAGACATTACAATCAACTTAAATCTTGTGTCCCGTGGAAAATATTTAGGTCTTTTCCAGTCACAAATTTGTCCAGGTAGTGAACTGCACTATGCAACTGCTTTGAGACATGGCAGCAGACTACAATGTGCTACACCGGCTAAATATACATTTCTCTAAGCACCTCTACATAAGGTTTACACAATGAGAAGCCAAAGTTCTTGGGCTAGCCAAGTCAAAAGACACTGGAGAACCTTTAAAAGATCTGAGTGTATCTATGAGCCTATATGTATGCTCTTCACAGTGTTGATTACAGAAAATCCAAAATCAATTAAAACTTTTACATCCAATTACTGTTTTTTAAAATGATTAAAAATGTAACTTGTACAATCCTGGGAAACAAAAACTTAAAAGCCCAAATAACCATGACATTCATGCCCATGCTGAATGTAGGTAAACTTCTGAACTGTATGCTGTTAAAAAGTATCAGGTTTCTAAATGTTGGTGAATAACAAATGAAACTCCAGTCAATTACTCAGACAGTTCTGCCCTGAAAACCTCCACAGAATAAAAGCGAGATATAGAAAACGCGCACTCTGAAATGAAAATGTCAGACAAGGAACAGATATATTTTTTTTACCGTAATCAGTCGTCAGCTCTTCATTTTCAAAAGTCCAACTTAGGAGCTTACAGCCTCCATTCTCTTTCTATACAGTCTTGAGCGCTGAGATGTAAGCAAACTAAATTTGAGCAACGACAGAATGAAGTTGAACTGGTTCAACCAGAGCTTCTAAAGAAAACATGAAAATTACTGCATGCCAAGAGAAGCGTAACTGAAGTGACTAAGCTCTGATTATTGTGCCCTGCATGAGGTACGCCTTCCCCGTATATATGACACCTGCTGCAGTCTTTTATATTAAATACAGCAAGAGAAAAACCAAAAAGAAAAAAATAAAACAACAAACACACAAAATAACACAACTCTGAAGACTGAGATGCTTTTTTATTGAAAGATCAAACATTAGGAGGAATGATTGGTAGAAATGTAATTGTTACATGGTCAAGGGCAAAAAAATAAAAAATAAAGTTAGTGCCAAAACTGTGGTCCTGTCTTGCCAAACCCCCCCCCCAAAAAAGCATCCATGTTCCTTTCTAGTAGTCACATGACATCATTCACAGAGACTTGGTTAAGCCTCATAACATCTTTTCAATGAAGCAGTTTATTTTTCCTTTCAGGTAAAAATTTCTGTTAATAATCAGACAATTTTATAAACAAGCTTGTTGGTCAGTACCAGCCCACGAGAGGGAAGGTTTTCATTTGGGAGAAGGATCCCTGGAGTTTGATCAGATGAGGAGGGGAAGGCCCACCGTTGCTTTGGATCTTTTAAGAAGGAGTTAACCTTCTTAACTGCCTTGGTCCCCAATTCCTCATACCTCTTGTCACAGGGCATGACACACCACATGTGTTTCAATTACTGCCCGTTCTTCACACTCAGAATTTTCTCCTTCAGAGAGGAAAGAAAAAAAAAAAAAAAAAAAGTATCAAGAAAAAGGATAACTTGGAGATAGCTTAGGCAGACAGCATAATGCATGTGTAATATTTATTTGTTTAATCAAACAATCTTACTTTGATCATGGTCTCCAGCTTCACGGCGTCAGCAGCAAACTTGCGGATGCCGTCAGACAGTTTCTCCACACCCATGCGGTCCTCGTTGTGCTCCCAGCGGAAAGTCTTCTCATCCAGGTGGACCTTCTCCAGATCACAGGCCTTGGCTGCAAAAATCAAAAACATCAGGTTCAATGTGGCAGCAGAGAAAGGCTGCTTACAGATTTCAATCAAAAGCTGTCCTGATGCATCTAGAATACTCTTCTCTGCATTAGGGAAAGTGTCCCTAGGTTTTGGGGAAACATAAACCAGAAGATAATTAAACAAGTCCTACTTGTACAGAGCAATAGAAAATATTTTTAAAACAAAGCTTGTGCTTCTGATCTTTTAATCTGTTTTAAATGGTTAGGTGAAACTCTCCAGAAAAGATGGGATGTGTGGCAGACTTGTGACTGGTCCAAAAAAAAAAAACAACCAAAAAAAAAACAAACCCAAAGTGCATTTTTAGGTCCGTTTAGTTTTTAGATAAGGTGACTGTGGTACTAGAGTTTAGTGGAATGTCACTAATGAGTGTGGCTCACAGAGCAAAAGCCCTTTCTGTTGACAAGGAAATGTCTTGTAACAACAAAAACATGTGTGCATGTAAATTAAACAGGTGTGAGAACCACATTGTTCTCACCAGTAGCACAGAATGTACTCTAGCCAGAAATGATTTTAAAACTAAATGAAAATATGTTTTTGGTAAAATCCAGTTAAAAGCTTCAAACCACAATAATATAGGGTAGACCAAGTTCTCATTTTTTAATCCACCCTAACATAATTAACACAAAACTGGCAAAAATACTTCAGAGAGCAATATTCTGCATCTTTTTAAAGTCAGAGAGCAGTACCTTTCTCCACACTGAGCATCTCCGTGACAGCACTGTGATCCTGGCTGAGCTCTGCCAGCAGACCGGGGGAGATTGTGAGCAGGTCACAGCCTGCGAGGGCTTTCACTTCCCCTGTGTTTCTAAAGGAGGCCCCCATCACAACAGTGCTATAGCCAAACTTCTTGTAGTAGTTGTAAATCTTGGTCACACTCACCACACCTGAGAAGAAGAAATACACAACCAAAGAAGAAGAGGTCACCAATTGATCAAGATACAACTGTTGTAGCAGTTTGATTTTTAAGGTAATGGTGTCAATCAATCCAGTTTTCAGCTACATGGCAGACTCATTATTATATTACACAATACTGCCACGCAATACACCTGCAACATCAGAAACTGTAATTACATTCATTAATTATCCCAGAGGTGATCGATCCAAACATCAAATCACATTCTTTACCTCAGACAGGTAAGCTGTCACACAGTGTCACTGTAGAAGTTATAATTTAATCGATGTCTCATCAACTTACTAAAGCCTGTATAAATGCTTTTCCCTAACTGCATATCATCTGGCACTGCCACAAAGCTAAAGCAACACTGAACACATGCATTATAATGAGCTGCTGTGTCTCTGACCATTTTCTTCAGTAATTTGTAATCCACTTGCAGAAGCTTCGATGAAGTTTCATTTATTTTAATCACACCTCTTTTTAAACACATTATCTCTATTAGCTCTGTTTTTAAAACTGTGAGAATACAATAATGCAGAAAAAAGGGATATGATGCACACCCATCCACAAATCAAACCGTTCTCAGCTCATCTGACGAGCAGAGTTGTGATTAAACATTTCTTTTCACTGAATAGCTTTGTGATGCTGTTGCGTTTCTAACACAAGCAACCACAGAATGATACAGTCAATGGATAAAGTAAAACACAAGATTTACTGCAAGTCCGTTTTAGCCATGTGTATCAAATAAACTGGTGATTGACAATATCGTCTGATAACTGCAGTGTTTTTACCTGGATCTTCATGTGGCTCGTAGCTTTTGCGATCTGTATTCTCCTTATACCAGTCAAGGATGCGTCCAACGAAGGGCGATATAAGTGTTACCTTTGCTTCGGCACAGGCTACGGCTTGAGCGAAAGAGAACAGCAGCGTCATGTTGCAGTGAACACCATGCTTCTCCTCAAGCTCCCTGAACAAACAAGCAAAACAAACAAAAACATTTATTTAGAACACATTAATAACAGAAATAAGTTACACACAATGTTATACCAGCTCCCGTTTCAAACATCATCTCAAAGGGCCAAGCTCAAGCTCATCATGAAAACACTAACATGTTGTTCTTTAGCCCACTGACTTCTGAGGGGTTTCTTTCTTTCACTTTGTTTTCTAGCCTGTAGGTACTGTCGCACCAGATATGAGCAGCCATGTTGTCAGAGTAAAAAGCTACATCATGTTCTTTTTTTACACTGGTTTACAACAAAATGTGATGATTTAACAGCAAATACTGGTTTGTTTGCTGGGTTTCACACTTGTTGAGTAGCTGTTATTGCACTCATGCTGCATGTGCCCCTGTTTGTGGGGAGAAGTAAACACAGACGTGACTGACCAGTGAAATACACCGGCTGTGATTTTATGAGTTGTTTTGATGTTCCATTACATGTTTGCTATAATTCATTTAACAAATATTGGAAAGCAGTGCTTAATCTGAGGTCAGTTAAAGGGCTCATATATGTTGGGGTCTCTTTATCAGTAATAGGACTGAAAAAAAAAAAAGCAAAAAAAAAAGCTGCTCCTTCTCTAGAAGACGTTATGCTTTCAAAATGAAATACACTCACTCACACATACGCAAGTGCAGCATCCGAGAGTATAGCACACTTCATACTCACTTCCCAGCTTGGATTCCTTCCCATGTTGATGACAGCTTGATGAGTACGCGTTCCTTGCTAATGCCTGCCTCTTCATAAAGCGCAATGAGCTTCAGGGCTTTTGCAACCATTTCATCTTTGTCAAAAGACAGCCTGTGACATAAATGAGAACCAACACAGCTGTTTGGCATTTTAAAATCTAAGAGCAAGTATTCTTTGCTTTGCGACTGTGTTTCCTGTGACAAGTTAAATGGTAAACAGCTTTTAAGAGATTGCTATAAATGCCATATTCTGTAGCTCAATCAGTTCACTATTCAGGTACTTTTTTCCCCCCCATTGGTTTTACAGAGAACACATAAATGATAAGAGTTTGCTAAATCAATTTGTATTTCTCAGAGAAAGTTAATTAGCTTCTACCAGTTGTTTATTATCAACAACACAACTTAGCTGCTGGTTAAAAAACAAAACAAAACAAGAAAGTGGTTAAAATCTCAAATTTCAGGCTCTTAAATGTTCCCTAATGCTCTGAATGACACTAATATATTAGGAAACACTTATGTGCTGCCCTCTAATAAAAGTTTTTTTGTGCAAGAATGGCATCTTATCTGAAACTCCTCTGAAATTTGCCTCATTGCTTAAAGTTTCTCTTTGTCTACTGTGTAGATTTGAAAAGCTCAAGCCAGTAAACATTTCACATCTTGTGTCATTAATAGCACTTTGTTATAGGTTTGCATGTACCTGGCATCCACTTCAGTTGAGACTCTGCCTGGGACCTTCTTGAGGATCTCAAGCCCAAAACTCACAAACAGCTTGTCCATGGTGTTTGCTACCTGCTCCTCTTCGGATCTTAATGGAGACAGAGACAAAAAGGCTGACCATCTCCACGTTTCAGTTACAATGACAACAAGTCAGAAAACCAATCAACATTTCTTCAAATTGTTTAATTTTAGAACACATTACACAATGGCTGAGAAGTCCACATTAGTAAAATCACAGACTACTGGTCTAGGTGTTTACTATGTTTTTAACATGTTCTGTTCCCACAGTGTTTCAGTTTACCATGTAGCTTTGGGAAAACAAGACAAACGCGCTTCCTATCACCCATCATATTTTCCAAGAGGCACGAAAGGTGTTTTTAAATACTAAGGTGTGTAATGTCTAATTAAACTCCATGCCACATGAATCGACAACATATTAAAGAAAAAAAAAATCCATCAGATATCAGGTTTAAGCAGAAAAGATGCACATTTTATTGGATTCACTGCTGTAAATTAAGGAATGTCCCGAGAGCTTCCACAGACGAGCTGTGTAATGTGCAGACATCTAAGAGGCACAAAATATCCCCCAGTGTAGTCCAACATCTATTTAACTAAAGGACAGTTTAGCCACAGTGTGTTTGACCCATTTGTGCACTATACTTACCCGCCCTTGGCCATGCCATACTTGATGGCCTGATCCACCAGCTGCTGGTAGGCTGGCATCTTAGCAGCAGCCAGGATAAGAGATGGGTTGGTGGTTGCATCTTGAGGCTTGTATTCATCAATGGCTGCCGTATTGGAACACAGATCAAAACAGTTCAGTCACATAAACACCCCGTTAGCCAGGCTAGATTAAAGCAGCAGTACAGAGAGGTACCAACCATGTGTTTAAATATGTTTAATCTGCAATAATAAATTACAGATGAAACATAACAAAACAAACACAGCATTGACCACAGGGGGGGGGATGGTGTTTCAGACGCAGCCTCTTCTGAAATAATGCTATGCTAATTGGTAGCCCTTTAAAGACTGCTGCTGAGTGACTAAAAGCAATGCCTTTGTGGTACAGTGGTTAACACATTCATCTAACACATGAAAGAGCCCTGGTTTGAGGTCAGAAGGTGACCCAAAAATACAGCCTGAGGATGGAGAGCACAACCTACTGTACTGGTGTTGGTCCCAAACCTCGATAAATCAAAGTTGTGTCAGGAAGAGCATGTGGTGTTTTCATTTTGTGTTTGTTTGTTTTTTTAATTTCTGTTCGAAATCAACATGTGGATCCATCTACTGTGGTGACCCCTGGGGAAATAATGATGCAGCTGAAAGTATCCACCAACTTACCTGCAAACTGTACCACTGATGGCCAATACATATCTAATGGTAATAAAGTTTGCTAAATACTACATGAAGCAAAAAACATTATTTTAAATATTCCACCACCTTAGCTTACAACGTATAATTAAAACTAAAGGCCTATGGAAACATTTTACCTGGAAATGTTCTCAGGATCATATGGGGCAAAACAGAAGGACAAGAAACTCTTGGCTGCTGTGCTTAATAATAAATTTATTACCTTATATAAACACCAGCCTTTCCACACATCAGATCTATATTAAAAATACCCAAACCTGCCATACAAATTTATATTTTAACTTCCACGCTAGGCCATCAGGAGTAACAGCTAGGACCTGCCAACAAAGACACAGTGTATTGCAACAAGGACACGTGTATTCGTGTGTGTCAATAGCACAGTTAAGACTGGTTATCCCACTAAACAATTAGTTTAGATCTTCCTTATTTTCAACTAAAATTCATATCAGTGTTAAAGAGGACTAAAAGAACTGACAGAACAAGAAAATAATTCACTCATGCTGAATCAACATACTGCTACCTGCAGGTAGAAGATGGTGCCATCTACTGTGCAAACATGTACAGTCTCCAAAAAGAAAAAAAAGAGAAAACTGATTTTTGTTATTTTTATATTCTACATTGAATAAGACTTTATTTAATTGTACCAGGCCAAGCGTGGGGCAGAGTACACCCTGGACAGGTTACCAATATACTGCAGGGCTGTTGTGCAAACCTAATCTAATAATTAATATTCAACTAATGAAATCTTTAGTGGCAAAACATCAAATTACTACAATTCCAAAAAAGTTACAATAAATTAAAAGAACCTAATGTCTTTGATGCAAAACATTAACTCACAAGGTATATAATAAATGTATGCCCCAGTCTACAGGCCTTAAAGAAAACAACCTGTTGCAGTTCACAGGACAGAAATTTTATTTGAAATGCATGAGTGGTGGGGCCTTTTCACACACCACAGGGGTTTTATGTCAGCACTGAATAGTAGCAGCATGGTTCAGTCAGAGCTGCCAACTCTTCATCCACAGAACAAAGGCTGTGTCTGTCCTGTTGCACGTTATCTCTCAACCCCCTCCTTCTACAGGTCAGCAGGTCTGAACTGGACACTCGTCATCAACTGCTCAAGTACTGCTGATTATGGCAACATACCCAATACTTAAAGTTTGACAAAAAAAAGAAGGAAAAAAAAGAATCCAAAAAACTTCCACTGCCAAAGGTGTTTAGGCAGGTAAAATACAGTGAAGTTTCGACATAAATTTGATCATAAACAAGACTGTGTATATATGCCAGTGTAATTACATTTACACACACTATACTTCAGAGTTCCTACAAATAAACTGATGATGGCACTTGCATGACTTGGTAGGTGAGGGACATTTAAAAGCACAGGAGATCACATCTAATTACCCACAGCATAAGAAAATAAAAACATTGTTTTAAATCAGTGAATGCGTTTAATTTGACTGGTCAGTTAAAATGTTGTGTGCATAAAGACACGTTTGTATACTAAACATATACCCATAACCTACCTGCAAATACATAAACATTACTGCCTTGATCTCAATGTCAACTCAAAGTCTGTATTGATCCTGGTAGACAAATCACATATTTCTTATGTAAACTTTTGAGTCTTTGTTCAATAAGAAACCCTAACAAAATGCACGTTTTCCTTTAAAACGTCAATATTCAAGCCGGCTAATTAGTTAAGTAGCCAAATTTCATAAGAGCAACCTCCACTAACTTTTAGTCCACTGCTGAGAACTTTTTATCCCCTCACTTCATTAAATTAAGCAAAACTGTGTTGGTTAACCGTGTTTCACCATGTCTTCATGTGAAAGCAAACATGTTTCTGCTTGACCTGGTCTTGCAACACGCATGTCTAAACTTGCAACAGGTGAAAGACGAGAAATGCATTTCATAAAAGACAGATGAGCTGTTGGGCAAATCTCGACTGACCACTTCTCTTATCGCAACCCTCTGCAAAACATCTTTGTTTTTTTATTGATGGTGGTAGTGACAGAGGTATTCACAGCAGTTAAGATTAACATGTGTATATCAGCATTGAGTGACAGAGACAGCTGATCACAAAAAGTATCTGCTTCTTTCTGGAAAATTCTTGCTCTTCAACTTTTTTACTCCTGCTAGTACAAACTGCTGGGTTACATTATTCTTCCTGTAAAGCAGGGATGTCAAACCCATTTCATAGCATGGGCCACATACAGCCCACTTTGATCTTAAAGTGGGTCAGACCATTTCGATTCAATTTCATTTAAATAGCATCAAATCACAACTGTCGCCTCAACAGACCAGTGAAACGTGACACTCCTGCTGTAAAGCATCTGCAAACTGTACTAGGAAAAATACATACTTCTCCAAGTACAATTAAATCTAAAAGTACAGACAACTATGAATAACTGGTGATAATCAGATCAATATATACTTAAAGCCAAAGCCTTCTTAATGTTCTCACCACAGACCAATTTTTGATAAAACTCTAATTTTAACATAAATGGACTGGACTGTATTGCACAGCATTTTTGTTATGCCCATTCTTATTATGGAGGCATTCCCAAACATATTTGTTTAAATTACAGGCAATAAACTAAGTTTATAGTTCAGCAAAAGGCTAAAGAAATAAAAAGTATACGGATCTGGGAGTATCAGCTTTCCAGAGTCATGCCTGGCAACATGAGTCCAGTTCTGTCGTGTCATCCTGACTGCGCAGGCGGTGCACGACGAACCATCTGGTTTTGCATCACAGTGTAAATCTAATATTTTTCCAGCCCTGTTCCTCATTCTGACCTATTGAGAAACATGAGCTTTACCTCTGTTACAAGAACTGGACAAACGAGGAAGGATAGTCTGATTTTACAACCACTTACACAGGCAGTGTGCACACAGTAGTCTGCAACTTTGGTTTGCCTAATCAATTTTGCGCTCACACCGCACACATATTCTATTATATAAAGATAACAACATTTTTATTAGACTAAAAGAGAGGTGTGTTATTATTCAGTTTGCATTGTTTGCTAGTGCAGCTAATAGTACGTAGATACTGTTAAGTAACGTTAACCAGTAATAGGATCATCTACTTCAGTAGTTAACCGGAAAACGAATTTCCAACTGACATGAAACAGTTATATAGCTAACGTTAGCTGGCTAACTAAACACAGTCACTTCGATGCTCACACCCACTTCATGACATCGACACCACCGCGGTCATTCACTTCAACGCTGGATCCTTCCTTGTCACTTAGTTAGCATGCTAACCAGCTAACGTTAGCATGGGATAAAACGGGTTTTACCGTTGAAGTCTCCCGTGTCTGCCACCACCACAGTGTGCTTCTTCAGCTGGTTCAGCGCCGACTCCATCTTTCGCCGTTTGTCTGGTGACCCGCTAGACATAATGAGGCGAGACTGGGACCCTTTTATACACACAAAACACGTGAGACCGGGAGGAATGTCACAGCGCCCAGCGTAAGAGGACGGGAGCGCGCGGCGTAAAAGAGGAAGGCGTCATCCGGGGCGCGCAGAGACCTGTTAGAGGAAGTGCGCAGAAAAAAAGTTCACTTGTAACGTCTGTCTACAGTTTATTTTAAAAATGGAAACCAGTCGGGCAATTCATTATATTATTCCTTACTTACTATACTATACCAGTGCTTTATTTATAAAGTACTTTTAAAAACAACAAGGCTGACCAAAGTGCTGAACAACAACACCAAATATAAAAAAAATACTTCTCATTCAGTGGTGGAGAGCTCAGATACTTATATCTTTCGCAATCTGTTGCACTGGCTCGACCTGTGGTAAAGTTTTTAAAAAAAACAACCTCCCAAATATAGGAGCCTGTTTTCAGACCAGTGTGTACTTTTGATAGGCATGTATTTAATCTCCATAAACTTACTTAATTACACTTTAATGCACAACATCATCTTGTGATGTTGTATTTTTGTGTAGCAATATTAGTACTTTTGTTTATTTAAAATCTATGACTACCTCCACCATTGTTGAAGAAATTCTATACCTTGTGTTGTATTTCTTTTTGGTGTTTTTGCTCCCATACCAATGATTAAAAGAATATTGTCACAGTCCTGGGTCGGTGACCCACTGTATTGTGTTCTGTGTTATTATTAATATTTGAGTTCATCATGGTTTATCATTACTAGTCTTTTGGCTTATAGTTCTGTATTTCTCTAGTTCTTCTTTGCTTTGTGATTTATAGTTCTTGGGTTTTGTTCCTTTGCCCCTCATGTAGGTTTAGTTAGTATAGGTTTAGTTCTGTCTTCATGTTTATTTTCTTGCTGCACCAGTCAGTCGTGTCTCATGTCGTAATTTGTTACTCCTGTCCCTGTGCTCCGTGTTCCCTCTGTTCAGTGTCTCGTCAGCGCCTGTCGTGTGTTTCCTGTTTTATTTTGATAGACCCTGTCCTGTATGCAGTGTGTCTGGTTGTGCTTCCCCTTGTCTCTTTAGGTCTGATTTGTCCCAGCTGTGTTACCGCCTGTTCCCCATCCTCTTGTTGTCCTGCTTGTGTATTTAAACACTGTGTTTCTCTCTGTTAGTTGTAGTTGTTTCTCTCCGTGCTGTGTTTTCACCCTTTGTGGTCCTGGCTTAATTCTAGTTCAAAGTTCCTGTTCTGGTTTGTTTTCCTTGTGTTTCTTAGTTGTTAGCTTCTAGTTTTCATTTTTGAGGTTTTGGTTTTGGTTTTTTTTATTTTTTTTTTTATTTTTTTATCAACTTTGTTTCTTATAAAAAATCTTCCCAGCAATAAAAACGGTCGCTTTAAGTTTCATTCCACATAGGTATGTCTACAGATTCATACCGGTCAAATGACTGGTGGAAGTATTGTTGAGACTTGCTATTCACTTTGTATCTGGATGCATCTGTACATCCAGATAGTTTCTTTAGGACAACACTTTATATTAATCCTCTCTATTTTGCATTATAAGGAGCATATAAGATGATGCACAGTTATGGGGGACTTATAAATAGCTAGCATAACCGTTTCTACGGGTTCCCATATTCTAAATCGTTATTCATTTATTTGCGGCTTTATAGTACTTTGGTGCAATAAAGCGTATTGAAAAAATTCACTTACAGACTTGAACTTTTTACCCACTGTGCAGTAACATTTAAACTACTGTGTGAATTATGGAATATTAGATGAAAAGCCTAACCTTCTGAATATTTAATTACACTATGGCAAGAGAGTCTGCTCTGCACTTTAACAATATGCCATGGCCTTATGTGATTTTGATTGCTTGATTACTTCTGTAACTCCACTGGGCCACCTGTTGCTGACAAATCTTTGAGCCCTCCAGTAACAGCCACCTGTATCTCAGTCTGATTTGCAGTAATATGGGAACAATTTCATTTTAGAAACCATTACATTTGGTGTGATTACCCTTCCTGCCTTTCAGCAAATCTGTCTGTATTCAAAAGTAGCACGTCAATCCCCAGGTTCTAGCAGAGCAATAATATTGTCGCTTATATTTAATAGCCTGTAGGGCTGCTTGACTGGAAGATTTATATTCTGGGGTACCTCACAGTTGACATGTGATATCAAACCACAAACCACAAATAAAATACATTGAGCATATTTATTGAACAATGGCTACCCCAAGGGCAAATAAAGTTTAAATTTTTTCATTTAGGATGTAACTTTTGTGTTTTACCTCCAGTAAAGTCCTTGCTGGACATACATTCATGTTGAAAAGAAAAAATGTATTCACTGGACTTTATATAGACTTTTAAAGGCCTCAGTTAGCATGTTAAACATTAACTTTCATGACAATATGATTGGAGGAAAGCCAAACATGTATGGTTTGTTTGGAAAGGCTACCAGGACAAAGCTTATTCTCTCTAAGAAGAACATGGCAGCACACCTTCTGTTTGCAAAGATGCATCTGAGCCAAACCCCAACTCTTTTGGAAAAATGTGCTTTGGACAGACGAGATGAAAGTGGAGATGTTTGGCCATAATGCACAGTGGCACATCTGACGCAAAACAAACACAGCATGTAGGCAAAAACACAAAATACCACAACGGTGGAGGGGTGATGGTTTGGGCTTCTTAGAGGATATGAACACTTTGCAATTATTGAGTCAACCCTGAATTTATCTGTATACCAAAGTATAGCAGAATGTCTAAAAAAGAAACATTTTGCAATGGCCCAGTCAAAGTCTAGAACTCCCTACACTGCAAAGAAGAGTGGGCCAAATTTTCTTCACAGCAATGAGAGAGACTGATGAAGTCATAGAAAAAATGGTTACTTCAAGCTATTGCCACTAAAGGTGGTTTTGCAAGCTACTGAATCATGGTGTGTACTTAGTTTCATAAGGCTGCATAGAGTTCTGTGAAAGCTTTCTTTTTCCAATGACTGCAGGGCTGAAGGAATAAAGGATCAATCTTTATAGAGCTTGCATGCAAATTTTTCATCTACACTGTGTGTGAGATCTACTGAGAACACGTGTCCAATTTCTTAAAGTGTAGCAAAATCTACTCGTCGTACTCATCAAAAATGGATCCCATCAGTATTTGAGGGCATCTTACATCTTACATACTTGACTTTGAAATATACAACACTTTTTCCACAAGAGCAGACAGCATGTTTTCTAGTTTTGTTTGAGCATTTTTAAGCTTTCAGCACACTTAATCACAATCTCTCAACCATGTCATTCAGCTTGTGCTGCCATCATTCAATTTGTCAGCACTTTAGAAAAGAAAAAGTACATCAAATATTTGAACCCCACAGGTGGAGTAGCCTTCGGTCTGCTGATAGTGCTGAGCACTTGGAGCCTGTGGTGCAGATGGTCTGTACAGGTTGACTCCTACTGATGTTGGAGATCTTCTGACTTTTGCCACCAGGAGGTCAAAGTTCACATGGGAATAGAGCAAAATTTATTCAAGGTTTCCTGGTGATGTGTCCTTATGACCTCTCTTCTAGCATCAGGGACACTGGTAGTGTAAAAACAGCTTAATTAATTACTGTTCTTTATTTTACCAGAGCTTCGGCCTCTTTACACCCCAGCTCTTCTCCACCTTGGAAGTCAGTGATGTTGAGCCAAAAACCTCCCTTCTGTGTCCTTATTACTGGCGTCACTAGTGAAATGTCAGCATAACTGCTAGATATTTTGAAATGTGACATCTGACATTTTCATTTAAGTATGGATGAATTTTAATGGGAAATTACTGCCAAGCTTGAGAAACGGTTAAATAGTTAGCAGACATAGTTATGCTGAAAATGTATTGCAAGGCACAGACTCTTTACATTTCTTTTGATTTGCTGGACAAATATATATTTATCAAAACACTGTGAGCTCTGAAAATCAGTGTTTTGCAGGTATGTGATGAAATATCAGTGTTAGTTGTTGTTTTTTTTAAATCAAGTATTAGCTTGGAAACCATCAATATGTTTGTGCGTGGACAAAAAAATGCCTTTACTTTATGTAGTTATTTGTATTCATCGGATGCTTCTTTGAAATCACCCACTGTGTCAGACCAAATTAGCCCATAAATAACCTGTGGAAATTGTCAGGGGGCGCTCCGCTCCACAAAAGATGATTATTGATTTTCAGTGCTGTAGCGCTAGTGAACACTAGATGTCGCCATTTCGCTGCTCGGCGGCTGTCACATGTGCGTCCATGTAAAGAGGGAGAGGGAGAGAGGGCGAGACCGAGTGCGGTTAAGGGACCGACTTGAGAAGTTTTGTCATAGACTGAGTAAAGAAGAGAGACAGCCGTGAGGGAAGTGAGCGGTAAGTCACTTTTCTTGTCATAACTATTAGGCTCTTACTTGTAACTTCTCTTCTTCTCTGCTACTTTCTATGTTCCGTCGATTTTCTAGCTCCAACAGAGATGTCAGTGACCTTGTTACAGAGATTTAACGTTGATAAATATAAAGCTTTCATGGGTTGAGGTTGTCTACTTAGAGGTGATAACCGTATCCTGGTGCCGTTTATCTTGTGCGAATTGTTTAATGAACGTTGCACTCCGTTTACTTAAAGGTGGGATTAGATTAATCATACTTGAGCTCACTCATCACCAATAAGGGAAAAAAAAACAACCTCTTTCTAACACTGGCCTGTCTGTTTTTAATACTTGTGAGCCACTGTCCATACTAGCTGTCCTGTATGTTGTGACTGTGGATATCTGGGGATGTTTGGGGATGGAGCTCTCTGATTGGCAGAGAAAGGGTTTCCTGGGTCTCGATGAAAGAGACAAAAATAAACTTGTGGAGAAGAACAACATTTCGAAATACCAACCATTCCTGAAGCTATCCCCTCCCATTAGTTTTCCTTTTTTTCTCCATGTGGGGTTAGAGGAACTTAAGGCCTCGCTAACTTCTCAAAGTTGTGGCTGGTCTGGCAAAGTGCAGAGGAATTCTCTGCCATACAATACAACCCTTATGTTAGGTTAGCAGAGGTCTTAAATCCTCCCATATGAAGCTGCCCCAGTATTCATGTGGCACATTAAACATTAATCTCAACTGAGATTGAGTTAAATTGC